GGGGGGGGGGCAGAGATAGAGAGAGACTACACAGCGACGTGGAAGTGGAGAGGGAGGAGCAAGACGCGTGCTATCCGTAATTGCATCCTGTCTGCTATCGATCACGCTGATTTCGATTATCGGACCTTCATTCGATACCTCGAACGCTCTCGATAGATCATCTGCATCGAGCGCTGCATTCCAGCTCGCGGCTCTGCCCGGCCCGGGCTCGGCCTGGCCTCTCCCTCGCTCCCTCCATTCATTTTCAGCCGCATTATTAAAATATTTTTGTCGTCTTTGATGAGACGCGCAATTTATGTGTTCGGCAAGCAGCCGATTAATAATTAAATCCGATCGATCACAAAGTAATAATTCCCACGGACCGCCATAATACACGCGAAATAAACAGTGAAAACAAAATAAAAAGGGAGGATAAAAGTTTCAATCAAAATTGACGCGCGCGCCATGGTGCGGAGGACCCGGAAGGATTTATGACCAAACAAGCGTACCGCCCCGCCGATTTGGACGTCGCCGGCGCGCCAGCCGCACTGACGCAGTTGTCAGGATAAACGATGGCAGAGATTATCATGATCTCGTCTGTGGGTCGCATTTGCCTAATTTTCGGCCGGCGGTTTAGTTGAGTGCGCTATGTACTCACCACATGCAGCGAGTCGGGGTCCCGCCGCTGGGAGACGGCGGCGGTGAGCTGGTTGTAGTGGTGCGCGGCGGCCGCGGCCTGCTGCGCCGTCTGGTGCAGCGAGGTGAGCGTCTGCGAGTAGGGGTCCGGCACCGAGAGGTAGTCCAGCTGGTGCTGGTGGGATTGCGCCGCTGCCGGCGACGTCGCCTGCGAGCCGAGAATGCGATAGTAAGAAGAACGGGTACATAAAGAATCAATTTTGAAAAATAACTCTTTTTCAAAGTGTATTTTGGGAGATTTAAGAAAATCTACTACGTATTTAAATTGAACTTTATCAACTTTTAATTAAAGTTGTCAAGTTTGCAATGACGATGTCAATTTCACTAAATAAATTTGTTTATTTTTGAAATGCACGAAGGAATTTGTTTTAAAATGTTAATGTCTACGTAGAGGGGTTAACATTTACTACCTCTAGAAGAACTACAAGCACACTCTTTCATGTGAGTACTGTGGTATACTTATATCAGTGTGCTTGTACACACTTCCTTTTGTGTCCTAAGTACACTGTTGTGAAAAATGAGGACATTCTGTCCCACTGTTGAAAGAGTAGGACTGGCCCATACTCTTGAATTTTCGGAATAAATCTGTGCGTCAGGTCTCGGGTGACTCACCTGGTGGTGGTGATGGCCCGGGGGTGGGAAGGGAGGGGGGAAGTAGGGGGGTTGGAAGTCGGTGGCATGGTGGGGGTTGGGGGTCATGTTGGCGGCGCCACCGACGCCCCCGGAGGCCGTCCTGTGGTGGTGGTGGTGGTGGTGGCCGGCCGAGCCGAAGGGCGACGCGCCGCCACCCCCCGACCCAAGGGAGGCGATGCCCCCGTGGCCGGACAGCCGGTCCTGCAACAGAAGAAAAAAGAACGGCGTTACAAAAATATTTCATTTCGATTCGTTAGTTGTTTTTTGGCGCGACACGTGAGTTTCACGCACAGCACACCCCTCCGCCCTTGGGCGGGCTGGTCCACCCCGGGCCCACCCGACTGATGGCGCCAGTAGCGGACCTCTCATCTCTCTCACACTGGTACGAACTTCCCAAAGCGAGAATCGGCCGTCTCCCTCTCACTACACCTGTCGCACTCCGCTACTGGGGGTGGCGCCAGACACGATCAACAAACGTAGGCGCAGTCAGCAGGTTTAGCCACAAAAATTTTCTCTCCTCAACAGGAAAAAACCCCTCAAACTTCTACACGGAAGAAGTTCCTAGCCGAAGGCCAGTTTTCTTTGTAGTAAAAATAAAATCCCGTGAACCGTACTATAAGGAAATTTATCTCGTATAATACAAAACTTTACTTAAGTATAAACGAACTACTTTGACATAGCTCGACATCTATGTATAACAAGAGTTTGAAAAGTTAGACAATCGAGTAAAACAAAAGTCTCGACGAAAGTAAAATTTTGTAATTCAACGATTCTGTTCTTGGGATAAATATTACGGTTGCACAGAAGGGTGAAAGGTGCACAGACATTTCTTTTCTTACAAAGAAAATTAACATTTTACAAGGGTTTTGTAAGGGTGTAAGAGTGCACGGCGTGCGGTGTACCAGTCGAGCGGGTCGCGGTCATTGCGGAACACGGCCGCGCCAGACACCTAGGCCCTCCACACACCACACCGGGCGCCAGACGCACGTTGGGAAGATTAAGCCGCGTGCGGAAAATATTATTTCGAGACCATTTTTAATATTCGACAGAGATTTGATGCTGCTCCCGAGATCCTTGGGTTATGGTACGGAGACGGGGGGTTCGAGTCCCGACAAAGTCCGTGTTTTTTTCCGGCGAGCTACACGCCGGTCAATTACAGCAGCCGAGCGCGAGCAACGGAGCGGGCCGACGAATCAATTCATCCCGAACGAGGAGTGTGAACCGCCTTCATGTTACACACACTGCCTCGCGCGACCAGGGGATCCCGACACGGTCCCGATCGAATACTCACACTCCCCGCCCAACCGTGTGTTTTAAATAAAGTTTTGAGTTGAGAGTACGTCATAACGACAAGACCTTCCTCCTCCACAGCCAATGCTACGGGCGAGGTTAGATTTGATTTCCTCGCTTGATTAGGCCGATACTTGAAAAAAAAATCTCACCCCGTTTGAGTGATGATTGGGAAATCTCGTTCTTTCCTAAAGAGGATTCAACTGATTTTAAACACACTACGTTTTAGTAGTGTTTCAAGAATCTTACTCAACAAGAGCGAGGAATCTGGCTTTTTGCATCGGCAGTGTCAGCATGTGAAAACATCTATACATCTATCAAAAATATCTATACATTTAAACATTTTGTGTGTGCGTGAGAGAGACAGAGTGCTGCAAAGAGCGAAATCACGCTGATGCTATGTCGCGATTCACAGATGCGATAGCGCACCCCGCCCCGGCCACCCGCCCCGCCCCACCCCGCCCCGCCACGCCACCTGTAGAGATGACACCTCCTCTCGGACCGTGTAATCTTTGCGACGGTCGGGCGCCTATTTATTGGTGTGTAACCGACACACTCCAGCGTGTGTGTGAGTGTGTGTAATCTGAACGTCAGGTGGCGGGCGCGGAAATCTTTTTCATCAAGGAATTTGTGTGTATAATTTTCCTACATTTGGCCACACAGCACGAAAACGAGCTGTTCGTATAGGGAAATAACGTCCTAGACCAATTTAAGGCCGAAATATGTTGTGTTTTTTTTTTTTCCAAATACATTGTATTTTTGAAAGCAGACGACGAGGCTTTGATAATCGGTCGTTTAGGAGCGGCGCGGGACGCGAGGCTGATCAAATTAACAATAATTAGTCAACGTTTTCTTATTTTTCCTTCTCCTTGGGAGGCTTGCTTTGCCTCGCTGCTGCTGGTTATGATTAGAGACTGATGGGAGGGAGGGAGGGAGAGAGAGGGGGAGAGAGAGCGAGAGA